GCGGACGGCGCTGGGACTCGGGAGATGCGGCTCCTCGCGCCACGTGGGCCCAAGTGGGGGGGGGTCCCCTCGTGGCTCGCTTTGCCCGTCTGTAAAATGGGAGGGCGAGTATCCCGGCCCGCGGGGAACAAAAATAAGAACCAATACTGTAAATATAGTAAATCTCTGTTACACTTTCACGTTCGGGCTGCAGACAGATGGGGGGAGCCTTGGTCTCTTCCTTGGCATTCCCCCCCTTTCCCTGGCACTCCCCCCTCCAGGATCCCAGGTTCTTTCTCCTCCCGGCGGGAGGGGGGCGTCTACCAAAGTGAGCGGGCAGCGGGCGGGGGGCGGGGGGGGGTTGGGGGGGCAGCTGATCAACCATCTGAGGAGCACCCGAACCAGAGCCAGGTGGGCACCGACCTGCCGCCCCGTTGCGGCTGGGCCTGCGCCCGCAGTCGCTTTCGTTCCGCGGGGACGACACGTGCTCGCGCTGTGGCGAGCGCCGGCGAGCCCGGGCGGGCCCTGCTCCGCCGCGCTGCGGGCCACGTTCCGGAACCTTCCTTCCCTCGCTGGGGCCACAACAATGATAACAACTCACTGTGCCTCAGACCTTTTCTTAGGTTATTATCACTTGTGTTCCTTGTTTTTAAAAAAAAATCACTGATTTGAGAAGGAAACATCGATTTGTCGTTCCACTCGTGGTTGGGTTCGTTGGTTGGCTCTTGTACTGTCCTCGCGTCAGGGCACCAGCCGCGGCCTATCGGGCGGCCGCTCCAGCCAGCCGGCCGGGCCTGCCGGGGCCAGACTATCCTAATTTTTTTTTAAATCCTCACTCAAAGACATTTTCATTTGTTTTGTTTGTTGGTTTCATTTCGTTTCACTTTGTTTTAGAGAGAGAGAGAGATAAGTGAGAATCGATTGGTTGCCTTTGTAGCACCCAGGCCGGGTATCCATGCAGGGACCCGGGGCACAGGCACAGGGACCAGGGTCACGGGCGTCGGGACCCAGAGTCACATACGCTGGCGCCTGGACCAGGGATGAACCCCAAACCCTTTGGTTACAGGCTCCAACCACTAAGCACGCCGGCCAGGGCCACTTGTGATTCTTAAAAACACGCCTCGCACCGTCCACGGAGGCCCTGGGCGGCTCCACTCTGAAGGGGCAGCTGCCGAAGGCGGTTCTGGGGCTGACCACCCCCGGCCGCTCCGCCGGCCACCGCCCGCCTGCCCAGCCCTCACCAGAGGTGGAGCAGGAGGCCCCGGGCCACCGCCTGGTCTGTTCGGAGCCCTCAGGGACCACAGGCGGGGAGAAGGAAACGTGGGCCGCGACAGGTCACCCAGCTCTGATGGGAGGAGCAAGACCACGGGGCCTGCCCGCTGGTCCCCAGGGAGGGAGCGCGGGCATCGGAGCTCTGCCCGTCAGGCTGGTCCGGTCTGGGCCCCGCTGCCCGCCCCCCCGCCCCCCCCCCCGCTCCTCTCAGACTCCATCTGGGGCTGGTGTTGGGGTCCAGGCTTCGGCCAAGCCTGGGGTGCCCCATGCCACTCGGGGCTCGGGACCCCCGAGCCCCAGGCTGCCTCAGGTCTCAGCCGTGGCCCGTGAGGAGCCCACCAGCCTGCATGAGGGAGGAAGGCAAAACTCCAGGGTCGGGGCTCCCAGCCTGAGCCGGTGGCCCAGCGTCCGTCCGTCCCTCTGTGGACAGCCTGCGGATGGGGACACTCCTGGCCTGTCACCAGCACCCTCCCTTTGCCCCCCCACCCCCCCTCCCCCCCACAAGCAAGCGGAGCTGCCGCGGTCACTGAGTCCGACTCTGTGCCCAAGCGCGAGGTCCCCTGGCGCTTCCTGGGCCGGTGGAGGGTGCGGTCGGCAGCCTCTGGGGAGGTTTTCAACATTCACACGCTTGCACCCAGCAACTCTGGGCCCTCCGTAGTGGGTCCAGCACTGGCCTCCGAAAGATCTGCCCACGCCCTGACGCCTGAGCCTGCGACTGTGGCCTCGGAAAAAGCGTCCTTGCAGATGTTACCCACATGGGCCCTAAATCCAGCGACAAGCGTCACAGCAGGGGAGAGGAGAGACACAGCAGGGGAGAGGGCGGGGGTGGGGAGGGGACACCCTGTGACCACAGAGGCAGAGACTGGAGGGACACGGCCGCCCAGCCCAGGGTCCAGTCGAGCCCCCCCCAGGAAGCGGGAGGAGGCAGGCAGGACCCTCCCCCAGAGCCTCCAGAGGGAGGGCGGCCCTGCGAGACCTTGACCTCGGACCGCTGGCCTCCACACCCTAGAGAGAATCATCTTCCTTGTTCTGAGCCCTCGGCTTCTGGGATCTCTCGGGGGCAGCTCTAGGGTACCAGGGCGGCACCCCAGACCAGTGCCCCCAGCTGGCGTGTGCCGAGCTGTGTGCAAGGATGGCTCTGTGGTGTTGCCGGGGGCGCACCCCCGGCCCCTGCACGCCTCCGACGGGCCGGGGTGCGGAGAGCTGGTCCATCTGGGAGCTGGAGCCCGGCGCAGGAGGAGGTCACCAAGGACCGGGGACTGGCCGGGCAAGAGGGACTGGGGAGGCCGGAGGGGCTGGGATGGGAGGGGGAAGGCGGGTGGACAGGGAGGGAGGTGAGGGCAGGCAGGGCATCACGTGCACTTGGCGGGGGGGGGGGGGCCCGGGGCCACCGGAGCCTCCTGGGCTGACTCTCCCTGGGGCTGGAGGAGAAGGCCCGAGGGTGGCGTGGGCGGCGCTTGTGGTTTTTACGCCAGTTGGGTTTCTCCCCCTACTTTTTAGTTGGAAGTAGTGACAGAACCGTAGGAAATCGCAGACCGTGGCCCCGTGGCCCCTCCACCCAGCTTCCCCAGGGGGTACGTCTTCAGTAACTGCAGAACCACATCCGAACCAGAGACCTGGTGGCCCCCCCCCTCCGCCGCCGTGTACGTATAGTGGTCGTTTTGTTACGGGTGGATCCGGTGCGGACACCGCAGCTCCTATTCCGGACTGAGCGGGCCCCACAGGACCTGCCGCCAGCCACCCTTCCGTGGCCACACGTGACTTGTACTTGCATTTAGGAGGTAGGTCCCCGCTGTCTGTGGCCCCCACACCACCCCCTGCCCTTTTCTTCCTTGCTAACAGATCCCCCCTGTGAGCGTGGCATGGGCCCCACCTAACACGGCTTTCCCAGCCTGTCCTGAGCTGGCTGGTCCCGCGCTGACCTTGGCTGATACAATGTAACCGGAAAGGGCCCGCAGGTTCCAAGGAAGCCTGGGCTTTGCAGACAGGTCGGTGCGGCAGTGTGAGCCCTTCTCCTGCCCTGGAGCCCAGGTCCCCGCAGGCTCAGCAGCCGTGCTGAGCCCACGAGGCCCCACGAGCGGAGACACCACGAGAACCAGAGAACGCAGCCCAGGCATCGCTGGGCAGCGACCACGCACACCGGGTCTGGGTTTGCCGCCGGGCTTGTTGAGGACAGTGGTTCCCGATCGGGGAGGGGGGGACTTCGCCCCCCAAGGACGGGCAGCGACTGCTGGAGACAGTTTCAGGTGTCACGGTGGCATCCAGGGGGAGAGGCTGGGGACACTGCTCATCCTGGGAGTGCCCGCCCCCCAACGAAGATGTCAGTCCACCGAGCCAGACACCCCAGTCAGGCCGCTGTCAGTCGGGGTTTGTTACCTGCAGCTGACGACACCCCTGACCCGGACGGGGCCTCGGCTGCTCCGCCCCGGGCAGAGGGGGTGAGGGGAGCCCGCCACCGGCCTCTCCGGGAGCGACCCAAGGCGCTTTACCTGGTCGGTGGGCGAGTGGATAAAGAAGAGGTGGTCCTACCGACAACGGAACCCCCCCCCGCCATAAGAAAGAACACAACCTCGCCACCTGCAGCGCGCCCCCCCCCCCAGAGGTTCGGTGCCGAGTGAAGTCAAGTCAAGTACCGTCTGGTTTCACTTACAGCCGCTGAAGGACAAACTGAACGGACAGAGCAGAAACAGACACAAAGAAGGAACTGCTGGCCGCCAGATGGGAGGAGGGCTGGGGGCTGGGCGCGAGGGGGGATGGGGCTCAGAGCTACAAACTGCCAGCTTCGCGACCGAGACCGCTCCCAGGCGGGAGGCACAGCAGAGGGAGCAGTGTCCTTGTTTCCACTGCGTGTGGCGTCAGGCAGGTTCTAGAACTGTCGGGGGGCAGGGCACCTCATGCTCGGGACATCCAACCACAGCGTTGCACCCCTGAAACCCGCATGAAACGCTGAACACCGCGTAGTCCGTGCCTCCCTCCACCGCCCCCGTGTTCTGGCGGGACGACAAAACACACGGCTTGATACAAACACCACTTTAATGTAAAAAAAAAAAAGGAACAGAAGAACCAGACTCGTGTGCACGCGCAAATACAACTTGGGGGTAGAAATACAGCCAGAAAACCGGAGAGCTGTGCCTACCAAACAAAGTAAGTTTGTCCTAAGTATCACGTTGGCAACTAAAGATCGGGCAAGCTCCCTGTCCCGTCCCTCGTGGGGGCCCCTCAAGATTCATCCAGGCTGGAGGGGAGCTCTGGGCTCCCCCGGACCCAGCCAATTCCATCCCGGAGGGGCGCACGTATATCTGAGACCTGGACCAACCATCACACGTGGTGGGGTTAAACTCGCCTGCCACTCTGAACTGATCGCCCACCACGGGTGGAAACTGAGTGTTCCTGCTGCCCCTGCTGGAAGTGGCGGCAGGAATCTGCAGAGAATTTCAGCCTGGCTTAAGATCTCCTCCAGAGACAATGAGCTCCCGCCCGTGGAGGTATTCACGCAGGACTGGGGCGGCACACGGACAGACGGCGCTTATCCAGCAGTGACCAAATTCAGGGAAGGGAGCTGGGGTAGCACCTGGTGGGTGGGAGGGGGTAAGGGGCTTACAAGTTTATGAAACGGGCACAGTCAAGGTCAGGGAGTCTATGTACGGGTGCTAAATGTGTCTTCCTAGAGCTAAATAGATGTGTGGTGTGAGCACTGGGGGTGGGGGGGGCAGGGGTAGGGGACCCCAGATTAAGGGGGGCAAGGGCAGGGCAAGGCCAGAGCCTCACTTCTGAAAGCTGGGACTTTCCACCAGCCGGAGCTTGCTGGCGATGCCGAAAGGATCCATGCTGTCGGTCTCCAGGGGAGCGGACTGCGCGTCGGCCTCCGGGCGGTCCTCCGCGGGCTCGGGCTGCGGCTGCGGCGGGCTCCTGGGCAGCATGGGCAGGAAGTGGGACAGCGGCAGAAAGCCTCTGTCCTTGTACAGCTGCCGCTGCCTGGCGCTGCTCAGGGACACGGGCAGCCGGTGCTTCTGGGACCAGTAAACGTTGTAGCCGTCGGGGCGGATCTCCTCCTCGAAGGCACAGTCCTCGGGCGAGAAGTGAAGCTGTGGAGAGAACACAGCCGTGAGCACCCTCGGGGGGATGGGGGCGCCCTATCGCACCCCTACCGCTCAGCCTGAGCTAGCCCTGCGTGTGGGGTTAACAAAGTACGACGCGAAATACAAAAGTACTTCAAGTGCACGAGTTCCCACTTAGAGCCGCCTATCAGACTCGCAGGCCTTTCTGTCTGGTGCCCCAGCGCGAGCCAGCAGCCCCTCCGCTCCGGCCAGGCAGCCCGTCAGGGCCCTGCAGATGAAAGGCGCCCCCTCCCCCCAGCCCCAGGCCCCAGGCCCCAGGCAGCGCCTGCGCCCAGCGAGGGGTGGCCGGAAATGCTGGGGGGGGGGAGGGGGAGAGCCAGGCCCTAGTTGCAGACCCCTCTTAAGTTGATTCGGAGGTGGCGGTGGGGAAGTTCTGCCTTCCACCAGTGTCATTACCCCTTGGCGACACGGAGGACGGCCCACGGCAGGGAGCCAGCAGGGCCGGGCAGTAAATAACCCCAGGAGGCGCCCAGTCTCATTTCTGCCTGAGCCTCCAAAGGTCGTTGAACTGCAGGTGGGTGAGCGCGCATTGATAAGGCCCTGATAAGGCCGGCGGCCCTGGCCCTGGCCCTGACGGCCCTGACGGCCCAGGCGGCCCAGGCGGCCCAGGCGCGGGGATAAAGGCACCAGACCTCGGAGAGAGTTCACTGCAAATCCACAAAGAGACGGGAGAAGTAAAACCAAATGGTGGACTATTTCCCCACGGCTGGCTATTTGGCAGGAATGAGCATCTCTTTTCCATACAGAAATGAACCGATTCCAAGTTTCTAGGAGAATGCGGAATATCTTTTTTCTTTTTGGGAGGCCTCAATGTTTGCTAACCCACGCCCATGGGGCCAAGAGGTAGACCTGGAGGTGAGGTGGGCACCCCCCACCCCGCCCCACGAGCGGAGGGCACCGCCACTGAAGTCGCGGCTAAGGGTCGTCTGAGTGGCTTTGGGTGTCGGCTTTCAGCGAGCGCACCACCGCCTTCCTGGTCCTCCTCTCGGGCGGGACCCCGCCACAAAGCCTGGAACAGGGGCTCTGGATACACGGAACAGCTGTGGGAGCTAGCTACAGCACAGTTTTAAGAAACTGAACCGGTTAGTGCTATGGGGAGGGGGCGGGGTATTTGCATCTTTTCTGGAGAGGGGGGGCACTCCCCACCCCCACCCCGCCTCGGGCGCAGTCTCCGCCTTCCTCCTCCCCCCGCCCCCCCCCTCCAGCGGAGCCCTGGCCCAGCGCCGCTGCATCGAGGCCCTGCCCACCCCCACCCCCACCCCAGTCTTCTCAGTGTGGGGGCTCCCTTTGAAATCTTATCCTTTGTTCCTGGCCAGAGACCCAGCATCCCGGCATCCCGCCCCAAGAGTCCCGAGGGTACCTGGGCCGGGCCAGCCCAGCCCAGCCCAGCCCAGCCCCCCTCCCAAAGGTATTCCCAGTACAGGTGAGCAGCACGGGAGGGCGGGAATGCATGGAAGTAATTCGGACGGGTCTGAAAAGTTACCTAGCACATTAAAAATGACATAAAAAACCCTCCAACCCTAAAGGTCATTTTTTTTCCGGGCTCGTTTGAAGGTTTACCTTTTGAAAAAGACCCAACTTCTGGATACACCCTTTCTCTTTTTTAAAAGCACTGCAGGGAGGGGAACACACGCGAGGACCACCCACAACCAGGCCCGGGCCGAAGAGGCCCGAGGTGGGGTTCCCAGTTTTGTACCCAAGAGAGCCCAGCAGTGGGTTTCCTCGGTCCCACCGGGCCACCCTTCGGCCCCGGACCCTAAACTTCCAGAGAAAAAAAGTCGGACTTTAACTTAATCCGGCCCTGGCAGTCTTCGCCTCGGAACTCCAGCGGGGCCAGGGGGAGGAAGCCGGGAAGGTCTGGACTGGATCCAGCGCGCCCCCCTCCCCCGAAGCCCCCCCCCCCGCGCGCCTCCCAGCGCGTGGCGACACCTACCAGCCCCAGCATCCTGCCGTCTTCCCCCATGCAAAGGTACCGCAGGCTCTGCACGCCCTTGATGGCCACGTTCCGCAGGGCCACTGCCCTGATTTCCACCAGACCTGGCGCGAGAGAAGCGACAACTGCAGCCGAGACCCACAGGCCCCCACGACACGTGGACGCGGTCGGATGGAGGACCTGCCCCGCGCCCCCGCCGCGCGCCGCTCCCCCCCCCCGTCTCTTCACGCTGCCCAGAGGCTCGGAGGAGGAGTGGGATGCCGAGGTGCGTGAACCCCAGACCTGGGGTTCCCGCAAGCGAGGGGTCCCCGAGAGCAGAAGGGGGGTCGGGGGAGGGGAACACATGGGTGTGGTGGGTTCATGCGCTCGCGCCCCCTCCCCCAGGTTCTGGCGCTATCCCGGGCTCCAGGGAGGGAACAGGACTCGAAACCTGGCGCATCTCGGGAGTGGGGTGCCCGCGGGGGTCGAAGGAGGTGAAGGGAAGAAGGGCCGCTGAGCGGGAGGGGGACCCGGTAGGCACTCACTGAGCGCGCTTTGGCCTCGCGCGCAGTCCACCGCGCCATCGGCACGGACGCGCAGGAAGCAGCTGGAGGGCCCGTGGGGGCCGGAGGTGTACAGGTGGCGCAGGCGGATGGACTCCCCCCAGCCGTAGTGCACGTGCGGCCCAGCGTCCGAGAGAGCTAGGGGGCCCCCGGCCGAGGCCAGCCAGAGGCCCGCCAGGACCAGGGTGCGGGCCACGACGCTTCGACTCTGTGAGCTCCACATGGCACCTCCTTTGGGCTCCGGGCGCGGTTCCTCCGTAGGGGGATGCGGAAGGCGAGGCGGCAACTGGGATGCTCTGCGGGGCTGTGCGTGCGGAGGTAGGGGTGGCCGCAGCGGTCTCCAGCTAGCAGTGCGCTCTGGGTCCGACGGCGGCTGCGGGCTGGCGGCCTTATATAGGGCGTCTTACCCTCCCAGCCGGTGGGTGCCCAAGACACCCGAGCATTCCTTATCAGGATTGCATCAGGCCCCCGCCCCCCGCACACACCCACTCACACCCTGCCTCCGGCCCCAGCCCCCTCCCCGAGCCCGGGGTGACCCCGCCCAGGTCGTCGGGATCTGGGGGAGGAGGCCCCGCTTTGCAGGAGGGTTCTGAGGAGCTCCTCCCCGCGCCTCGGTGGCGGGGCTGGCGGCCAGGTCGCTCTTGACTGGATGAATTTGATTTTATAAAGCAATAAAGGAGAGACGGAGCCCCGCCTCCAGGCCGCGTCTCCCCGGGGAATGCGCTCGTCGCAGGGGCGCTAGCAGGGGTGGGGGCAGGAACTCCAGGACCCAAGATTGGGGGGCACTGAACTTTGCAACCCTCATCCCCTGTCCGGAAAAACGTTGCCTCGGCTTTAGGACCCTCCCCCCTTGAAAGTCCCCCTTCGCTCCCTCCCGCGACGGCGCCGGCCCTCCTACCCACGGACGTATAGCCTTGCGTTACAATCCCCCCTGCAGCTCAGACCCTCTCTCGTTCTCTCAGCTCATGTTCTCGCGATCCTTGCCCCTCCTCCACGCCCAGCCCCCTTTATCCCGGAAAATTGTACCCCGACGGGGGGCCGGGCGCGATCTCCTCCCTCGGAGAAACAATGGGGGCGTCGCGCGGATGCCGCTAGATGGCGCTTCAACCCGGGTTTCGGCTTCCGCTCTGCCCCGCCCGCAGTCGCGGTGAGGGGGGCTTGGGGCAAGGGGGGTCGCCAGCCCGTAGCGAAAACTGCCTATCAGCTCAGGCCCTGGCGCTTGGAGCGAGTGGGCCCCTCTGTTTTGTGTTGCTGGTCCGGTCCTTGGGTCCCCGCGCGCAGCGGGTGGGTTGCAGAGGTCCCGGAGCTCCTTAAGTGGTGGGGAGGGGCGCAGGAGCCGCCATGCCCGCGGCTAAGGTGGGGGCCGGGCCGGGGTGGGGAAACTGAGGCCAGGCGGTGAAGTGGCCCCCGCAAACCAGACACCTTCTCTAACGACGCTCGGAACATGGAAACCGCCTCCAGAGAGTGTGCCCCCCGCGGGAAAGAGAGGGGTCCTCCCCGGGGGGGGGGGTTTGCCTCAGTATTGATTCTTTCTCATTATTCCTCAGCCCTTCCCCCACCCCACCCCCTGGGTGTGGGGCCCCAGGAGGCCGGTTTTGGGGAGAAGCCACACGGGCTCCGCGCAGAGGCGAGCGGAGGGCGAACGGCGGAGCCGGAGCCGCAGGACAGGAGCGCAGTGCCACGCCTAATGAATCTCGATGAGCGAAGGCCGTGTTCATACCCCCATCAACGCCTGGCGTTAATGACGGAGCACGCAGCAAATGTCACCAGGGAAGTCTTTACAAAAAGACATCCTCTCAAAGGCTTTATGAGCCAGGGACCCCCACACTGTGTGTCTTGGTTCAGAAAAGCCGTGGCTTCTGTTAAATCTAATTACTTCCCCCCTGTGGCTTTAAATCGACGGCGGTTCCTATTAAAGTTAATTACCCTCCCCTGCAGCTTTCGTTTTTAAAGATCTTGGATAAATGCGGGGGCCTGAGGAGGATGTCTGGGACTTCGAGGGGACATGCGTGCCCCAAATCCGGTTGGGAGAGGAAGGGGGATGCCAGCCTCCGGCCGCATCCCCCAACCCGTCCGCTGCCCCTCCTAGGGCCCTGGTGGGGAGAGTGGCCGCTGGGGTCTGGGAGCTGAGGAGGGTGGCGGAGGCGGCAGCTTCCTATTCTCTGACAAGCACGTTGTGGGTGTTTTCGGCTTCCCACAAGTAGCACGTGACAGCCTGTCCCTCCGCTGAGCCATGGGGGGCTCCTGGAAATGGGGCAGAGCGACCCCAGGCTACACCACCCGCCAACGGTGCACCTGGTGGCGGGACCCGGGCCGACAGGCTTGTGAACGCAGGCCGTGCTGCGTCTGCGGGACCTGCTGTGGTCCCCCAGCGGGGCTCAGCTCTGGAGTCAGACCCTGTGCGGCACCGACGCACGCCTGGCCCCTCCCCGGTTGTGAACCTTCCGGGGCCTGCTGCCGTCTGGTGCCTTGTGCCGGGACCACTTGGGACAGCGGACATACCGTCCCAGGTGTCGTTCATGAACCGTGAGGGCCAGGCATTTTGTGGGCACAGCAGAGCTCTCAGTTTAGGGGGTTCCTCCATGTGAGGAAACTGGGGCATTACAGAGTTAGCTTAGGAGCCAGCGAGGGTCTGCACCCAGGGGGACAGGGAGGGGGAGCCCGCGCAGGTTGGGGGGTGCCCCTGGCCTGTGTGGCGAGAAGAAGTGAAGAGGGGGAGAGGAAAGGCAGCGCTGGCCAGAAGGGGGCGCTGAGGCTAAGACCGTCCAGGTAAGAGCTACCAAGGTAAAGGTGAGGTCCTCTTCCCAAGCCTCTCAGAGCTCTCCAACCCCTGCGGCCCCCGCCCCCGTGTGCTGGTGTGGACCGGTTTTTATTTTTCAGGCTTCCTGTGGTTTGGCCCAGGTGGCTACACCAGCTGACTCGCCCTGGTGGGACTCCGCTCACCCAGCGGAGCGGCCCCAGTAGCCGGGTCCCCGCTATCCCAAGCGGCCCTGCTCAGCCCCGATGGCCAGGAGGCCATGGCTTGGCGGCGTGGTTGCGGACGTGAGGCCAGCTGGGATGTCTTTTAACCACCCTGAACCCTCTTCTGGACTCGCAGCCCTCCTTTGACCCAAGCTCGTCAGGGCTGCTCCCGATGGTGGCAAATGAGAGATTGTCATTGTTCCCAACCCACGTCCCAGAAGGGCAGAAAATCTTGTTCAGCTGCACTTCCAGCCTTGGCATGATGAATGTCATCGTTTTGGGGTTTTTTTAATTTTTTCATTTTACGGTTAGACATGCACATTACAGTGTCAAAGGGGCCTTCTCAGGCACACTGCCCTGCACCCCTCCCCACCCCCCCGCCCCGCCCCCCTGGTTGAGACTGCCCTGTTGAGATTGCGGAGGCTTCCGCGTGTTGGTGAAGATCATTGTCAGAAAAACAGGAACTGCAGTTTGGAGCTGGGGAGCAACAGGACTTGAAGTCTTGGAGGAGGGGACAAGCCACACGGCTGGCTGGTGGCTGCGCTGAGAGGGGGACGCAGTGTCCCTGAGCCTTAAGCCCTCTAGTTTTGTTAGGATTTGTAGGGCCACCCCCAAAGCCTTCTGTGTCACCAACAAGACAGCTTTTCCCCATCAGGGTCGCTATTCCAAAGAGAGGCTGCCCGCCCCCGCCTCCGCCCAGCACAGACACTGACACTGACACTGACACGGTGGGAAGGGGACGATTCCTCTGACCTCCATTCCCTTGTTTGTAAAAGAGCGAAAAGACGCCCAGGTCTCAGGGTCCACGTGAAAACCGGAAGAGCCGTCGGTGACGAGAGCAGGACTCTCAGAGGTGGCCTGGCCTGCGGAGGGGGGCCTGCGGAGGTGGGGCGTGCGGCAGAGGGGTCGCCGCTGCTGTTCGTTTCCGGGGCACACGCCCCGACCCCCTTCGCCACACTTGTGATGTGTCTTTAAGGAGCGACGGCAACTCTGGAGGAAAGACGAGTGTGATATGTGGTGGCAGCGCTGATGGGTGGCTGCCTGGGGCTGGAGGCGGGGTGGGGGCCGTCCCCGGGCTGAGGGGGCGCCCTCCGGGGACGGGGGGGGGGGGGGATGCGGCGCAGGGTGCCTGGGCGGTGAATAAACAGACTCTGACATCTGTCCAAACCCATCGAGGGGCGGCCCTTACACCCCCGTGGGGCTGATTTCGGACGTGGTCATGGCAAAGTGGCACTTGTTCTCGGCTGAAAATTGGGAAAATCCGGGAAAGTGGAACAAGAACAAGGCTGAAAACCTCGGCTGTCCCGGCTGCGTTATCGGCCGTCTCTATTTGGGGGGATTTCATTCCCGGACTTCTAGAAAGTATTTATATATCTCATTTTAAGTGTTTAAGTCGTGTCACCCCTCCACCACCACCGTGCGTGTGCGCACACGTAGCTATAAAAGTTCCCCCTGCACTAAATGCCTTTCTCAGGCACCTTGGACACCGCCGGCCGACCCGAGTGGGGTTCCTCCCGTGGGCGGCCTGCCCCCTAGTGCCGAGTGCTTACGCTGTTCCCAATGTGCGCTCCCGCGGCACACTGGGAAGACCCCCGGGGGTGGCCTCTCACACCTGTGCACCCCCAGACGCGGAGTCACCAGCCCCATGCTCTCCTCCCCAGGTAGGCCTGCTCGACGCACCGGATCAGGGTGGGAGGCGGCAGCTTCTCCCTGAGTCTGAGAAACGCCCCTGCTTCTGCCCACACTAAGGGCCGCTCGGCCGCCTCTGGACAAGGCGCGGCCACCAGCAGCGCTCCGTGGGGCCCAGGAGCTGGGGCTGGCGGCCTCTGGCGGCCAGGCTGCCCCCCCACCCCCAGGGCCTGAGAGCTGCAGGGTGCCTCTCACGCGTCCTCAACAGGAGACCTGGCCGAGACCCAGGCATGTGCCCTGACTGGGAATCGAACCTGTGACTCTTTGGTTCACAGGCCGGCGCTCAATCCACTGAGCCACACCGGTCAACACAGCGCTGATTTTAACCTCTGCGCCTGTGCGAGCGGGAGAACACAACGGTGGAACGTCAGTCGGCGATCCAGGTGGAGGGCCAGAGGTGTTCCTCATACTATTCCAGAAACGTCTCTGGAGGTTCGGAATTCTTCAAAATAACAAAAGAGAAAGAAAAAGCAAGCCGCCTGGCTGCGACGGGCTTGTGGCTTGCAGCTCGCACGGGCAGCGGTCCGCAGCCCCCCAGCGGGGACCCCAGACGTGCTCCCGTTGGAGGCTGGC